CACAAAATTTTATCCAAGCCTCTTCCACAGCATAAAAAGAAACACAATACAGTATTAGTAAAACAAATTGTAGTAACATAAAGAAAACAACTTAATGAGAAACATAAAAATAGGTATAATGACACTCATATCTACTACACATTTCAAACTTTAAAACCGCGTTAAGAAGGGTATTAAAAAATAAATCTTACTGTTGCTTGGAGACGTCCAGGCTTCTTCGATGGCAATCAGATCGTCCAGGGGGGTGGGGGACTGTCTCATAGACACTGTCATCAGTCGGATGTTTGGGTACTTGTGAGCATCGGCTATTTCCTGCTGACTGTTGAACATCTGAAAATATGAATCTGTTTGTTTATTTGCTCTTATGTTAAACAGAAGCACACAGCCAGACATAATAAATTAATGGTCATGCTGTCCTGGGAAAAGAAGGATGACAGACAATTGTAAACTGATCTGAGAGTGAGAGCCAGAAGTGAATCAGTCCAAGAAAGCAGATGATAGAACATTACTAGAGAGCTAGAAAGGAGGTGAAAAGAGACCATTTTAGAGAAGAAAATGTTTCCGTCGCTAACAGGATTCGAACCCAGGACCTTTAAATGAGAGGCGAACACCTTAACCTCAAGGGCACGAGAGCCCCCTGCATCTGCATCAGAACCATCAAAACAACAAGAGACAAATAATCAGCACAAATCACTAATTACCTGAGGTACAGAGAACTGCATGTTGGACTGGCCGCTGCAAAGCCAGACGTCACCAAAGATAACGTTTGCCAGGTTCAAGGTTCCGCGCTCCGACATAACTCTTACGCTGACGGTGACGTTCGCATCAATTGGATCAAGAGTAATCATCCACACCCCAACACCTTTCTGTGCACTTTCCTTGACCATTGTCTCGTAGTAGTACGGTTTAGAAGGAGTGTTCATCTGCAGACAGAAAAAGTAATAATGATAATAATAATAATAAATAGCATTCGTATAACGCTTACCCCTGCTCGAAAGCAAGTTCTATGCACTTTTTTAGTAAGAGTTTTACGGCACTTGCAACCCAAAAAAGTCACATAAGTGCCGAAGATTAGAGGTGTTACAAGAGAGTAACTTGAACAAACACAAAGAAGGAGGAGAGAGAAGGACAATAGTTTTTGATAGGAAAGAAGGAGCAAACCACACCAGAGCACCTGTCAACTACTACATGTATGCAATTTATACTATATTATTCCCCAGTAGACCCTATAGCACCCAGAAACATTCTCAGTTTCCCGAGAAGTATACAGTGCAGGCGGCTGATTAAGCGCTTAAGCATTAACAAACTAACAAGATAAAAAGTATAGATCCCAATGTCTTACAAAAAAGAGTCCAAGAAAGCTTAGTTAATTCCCCTTCAGTACAAGTGCCCTATGACGGATTCAGATTCTCGGGGTGAGGTGGGGGGGGTGGGTGGGGGGGGGGGGGGGGTGAGGAGGAGAAGATGAAAGGAGAGAGGGGCGGACACAATGAGAGTGTCATTTCTGTACCTACATAATATACAGATTCTGTCCTTAAAGAGGGTGGTGAGGAAATATTGCTCTACAATTTTCATGACGACTTGTCTTTCGATCGTTACTATAACGCTGCCACGATGAATTTCCTTGCAAACAGACAGATAGAGACTTTCAGAGTGGATTCTTAGAAATGTAGCCAGCCTTGTTTTTCTTTCAACGATCAATGATTTCAAAAATATTTTCCATCGGCAAGTCAGTCAGAGCTTGAAACCATTTACAAATGACGGAATGAGAAACAAAATATGAATCCACAGTACCATAACGCACACTGAAACACAGGTGCCAACTGGTTACGAAAACAAAAATCTTGAACTTTTTGGACCCTAAGGGTATGCAGGCATGCGGTTTCAAAATATTTGGATAATAATAATAATAATATAATAATAATAACAATAATAATTGTATTTATGGTCTAATCTTTATTTTACTTTTTACTTTTTTTTGGTAAGTATTTTACGGTGCTCGCAACTGCATAAGGTCATATGAGTGCACGAAACACACCAAACATTTTAAATTTGCAGGAAATTTTGAATTTTTGCCCGGGAGGTGGCCGAAACCTTCTCTTATCGATTTTAGACCACCAACAGGGGATCTTTAACGCGTGCAACTTGCACACGGGACCTCTGAGATTTTTCGCCCATGTACGAGAAGGCTAGGTGTAGATCTTTCCTACCAGAAAATCAGGGGTGTGGCTGAAAGACAGCAGTAAGGAGCCAAGGAGTAACAGTACAGTAGAAAGGCTGCAGAAAGAGTCAGGAGCCCAGAGGAGGGGGGCAAAGGGGGTGAGGGGGGTAGAAAGAGGAGGTGAAAGCAGACGAAGGAACATTGCTAGAGAGCAGGAAAGGAGCTGAAAGGAGACAATTTTAGAAAAGAAAATGTTTCGATCGCTACCTGGATTCTAACCCGGGACCTTTGAATGAGAGGCTAACACCTGAACTCTTTGAAGACGCAAATTCTGGTTATTCGAACGTGTGAAGAAGCTACAGCCCGTGATCCCCCCAATATATTATTTTTTTTATGAGCCCTAAAAAGTAAAAAAATAAACCAAGATGCATACTATGAAATGTTCAATCTCGTGTTTCTGGTTTGTGTGTGTAGGTCCAAAATGAGTCACAACATTGGCTTTGATCTGTTTCTGGTTGGACAAATGTGTCCCATACGTCTCTAAAGAGTTAACCTACGAGAGCCCCCGAATTTATTGTCTGCCATTTGCAACATACAAGTAGTAGTGTTTGTGATCATTGCAAATTGCTTGCTATAGTTGCCTCAATTTTATTCCCATGACCATGCTACTGCGTGCTAACTTCTCTTACTCCTTGAATGTTAACGGTCATCCTCAGATCATGATGGGCCAATTTTTATTACTATTATTGTGTAATAGATCTAAGGGCAAAGTTCAGACAATTGTCACCTTTGCTGGAAACTCGCCCATTCCAACCTGAATCAATTAATTGAGTTCAGGGGTCCACTATAAGCAGGAAGATACACCTTACGAAATAATACGCTGATTTTTCTGTTATAATACACAAATGGTTCATCTTTCTGTGAATAGTATTATTACATTTGGATTATAAGATAAACTTTTCTTTTCTATTCAGTGCTGATAATGAGAAAAAGTAAAAAAAAAAGAGGAAAATATTTCACCCTTGTTGCAATCCCGAAATTTCAACATGGAACTGTAATACTAACTACAATAATATAACACATACCTTTAAGTAGTAATATTTCGGAAAAAAAAAAAAAAAAAAAAGCGGAAATCAGCGGATCCGCGGATAATTATCAGCACTGTCTATTCTATAAAAATTCAGTTACTTTGAAGGACTGGCTTTTTCACCATTTTCTCTTCAACCACTAAAAGAAAAACATCTGCAAATTGAATTTTCTTTAAAACATGAATATGCACCTGTGCTTTCAATTTTGGATAGGGTCACAACTCAAGGGTTAATCAACATATTTCTTGCTACAAAAAAAGTTTTTACAGAGACAGATTGTTGTTGAAACCATGCAAGGTAATGACATTGAAGTTACGTAATTTCAACCAGGAACTCGAAAATTCTTTTTTTTTTTTGTAAAGTGTTTTACGGCGCTCGCAACTGCATAGGTCATATGAGCGCGCGGGACACACCGAATATTTTCAGTTGGTAGGAAATTTTGAATTTTGCCCGGGTGGCGGCCGAAGCCTACTCTTATCGATTTTAGACCACCAAGGGTTCTTTAACGTGCGCAACTTGCACACGGGCCCTCCGAGATTTTTCGCCCTTGTCCGAGAAGGCTAGGTGTAGATCTTTCCTACCAGAAGATCAGGGGTGTGGCAGAAAGACAGCAGTAAGGAGGAGCCAAGGAGTAGCAGTAGAAAGGCTGCAGAAAGAGTCAGGAGCCCAGAGGAGGGGGCAAAGGGGGTGAGGGGTGGGGGCAGAAAATGGAAATGAAAGCAGACAACAGAATATTGGTAGATAGCAAGAAAGGAGGTGAAAGGAGACAATTTTAGAGAAGAAAATGTTTTGGTCGCTACCCGGATTCGAACCCGGGACCTTTGAATGAGAGGCCAACACCTTAACCTCTAGGCCACGAGAGCCCCCTCGAAAATTCTGAGGCAGGGGTAATAATAACAATAATAACAGTAATAATAACAATAGAATTGTGTCAGAATCAGGCGCTCGTCAATTTTTGGGCATATGGAGTCATTGGTACCCTCTTAAAGCCTGTCCATTTACCTTGCTTTCGATGGAAAAAAAAATTCCAACTACAAGTCGAGATATCTGCCATTAAAGGAGGTGGGGGGTCTCCTGGTCTCAGGGGTAAAATTAGCGAGAAAATGGCCGCCAAAGTTTAGTCATTTCATTAGCTTGACAATCTGTGGAAACTTATAATTTACAACTTTTAAGCCTTTAATCAACGTTTTTCCAGCAAAATCCACATAGAAATGTGTCTTTATATGGACATAAAAGAGGTTAAGTCAAAAATAAAAATTTGAAAAAAATTTCCAAACTAGCAGAAAAATGCCTGTATCTTCGATATCTGTATTTAGACGAGCGCCAGATTTCACCATGATGCCTCACAATTGCATTAATATAGTGCATATCCATGTTCTACAGCATGCTCTATAGATGCGCTTTATAACTACTTTTACCCCAGTAGACCCTAGAGCACTAACAAACATTCTGGGCTTCTCAGGAGGCATACAGAGCAAGCTGAGGATTGCATGCGCTCAAACACTAAAAATAAGACAAGATCTTTCACTGACTGTAGCTGGGTACCCACTCCCACCTGGGGTGAAGTGAGGGAAATTCGGGTAAAGTGCCTTTCCCCAAGGACACAGCATCAGGACCCTGATGTGATTTCAACCCGGCATGACCTTTCAGTAGTGAGTTTGATAGCCTAACCACTAAGCCACCCACACTGGAATTACTAAAATACCTCTTCAAAATGATAAAAGCAGACAATTTGATAAAAATAAGATGCTTTTTATTGTTCTTTAAAGTAACAACTTGAAAAAAACCCAAAACAACAAAGATAAAACAAAGGTCACAAAGTTGTAAGCCTACTAAAACAATAAAAAAGTTCTGTGACCCTATTTTTAAGAAGTACAATGCACGAGCGGCCCTTTACCGTACAAAAAATTGCATCACTGAAACACTCGAGACATCAAGGCATCACTGATAGCCTTAGCATTAGTAGGTCAACACTTGTTATCACTTGTTTATCGACTGGTTGGCAACAGCGATGGTGGTGGGCTTATCATGTTAAGGGTTAATAAGTGTGTTGAGAGCACTTGTGCCCATTGCATATAATACATTTCTGTCCAGTCTTATTTCTAAAAACAAAACAAAATAACAAACAAACATGCTGCTCGAATATACTTTCACCGAGTTCCGGGGCTTTTAGCAAATAAACCCGAGAGACAACGAGTTATTTCCCTTTTAAATATATTCGTGCAAACCCAGCATCACCGAGCCAGCTTCATCAATCATTTAGCTTAGATGTGTACAAGAACTAAAAAATAATCACTTTATGATATGTATGTGCATTCCTGATTATCTCATTGATGTTTTTAAAAAAAGTTTAAAAAAAACCAAAACCGAAACAAAAAGAGATAAAATTGAGGACAACTTGGCATAAAGAAATAGTGAAAAAATATGATAACTGCATTACTCATTAACTCAAACTCAAAACAGGAAAATTTTCTTTGCAAAAATGAAATAAAAAAGTTGAAAACACAATCAATTAAAAAAAAAGACAATTATGAAATATCCTACTGTTGCGCTTCAAGAAAAAAAAAGAAAAAAAAGAAAGAAAATTGTTTGGTCTGAGAAGATGATGATGGTGGTGATGATGATGATGATGATGGTGGTGGTGGTGATGATGATGATGACGATGGTGCTGAAATGTTGGGAACGATTTGCAGGTTAATGTTGGGGTTAGTTTATTTTTCTTGAAGCATATACCCATTTCTTTCATGCTGGCACATTTTTACGTAACTTACAAATATTGCCACCATATTAGGACATGGGACCCCCCCAAAAAAATTAAATAAAGTCCTTACTTGAGCGATCACTTTCTGTCCAATATCAGGCGAAAAACCGTAGATGTTGGCACGTGCTGGAGCCATCTGCAACACCATGTTGTTCTGGAAGTGTTTGGCAAAGGCGAACGCGACATCGTCTGTCTGGACTGTATCTTCTTGGTAGACAACTGACTCTGGGAAAAAGTAGTTTTTGTTTCAGTAGAGGTTTTACGGCGCTCACAACTGCATAAGGTCATATGAGCGCCAGAAGATTAGAGGTGTTACAAGAGAGTAACAAACATAAAAAAAAAGAAGGAGGGGAGATACGGACAAAGATGTTCGGACAGGAAAGAAGAAGCAAACCACACCAGAGCACCAGCCAACCACCCACAAAAATTGTTTTGAGAAAGGGGATATCATCTAGTATTAATAATACTAATGTGTGAGTGTGAAGCAAGGACCAGAAAAAAAGAACACAGATGGCACTAGTATCTTTCAGAAGAATGTGCGCGAGGACGGCATCTCGGCACACAATGTTGGATGTAGTACAGCGTGGGAGTGGGAGCTGTCATGAAGAGGTTAAAATCAACCTGATCCCATCCAGCCATTATTATGGGTACCAAGCAGATCAAGCCAAGGGTATTTTCTTTTTTATACAAATGACTGGCTTCTGATAATCAAAGGCAATACTGCTACTACCTATATAGGCTTATACAAAAGACGAGATCGAGAACGATTTTAGAGGTGGTAGGGAAGTAAAAACTGAAAAAACCCCCCAGAAAGTAGAAAGACAAGTGGCCAGGATAGGGGTCAAAGGAAAGCGAAGCCAAAACAGGACAGTATACCCGGAGTGTCTACGTACACGGTGACCGGGCACGTAGTCTACGTACACTGTAATCGGAAGGTCTACCCTCGTTCTTCACAGAAGTATCGTGTTGCGTGACTCGCCGTGTTGTGTGTGCATTGTGTGAACTCTGACATTCTCCGATGTGTGCAGTGTGAGGTCACTTTGTTTGACAATGGCCATTTCAGCTCCCTTTTTTCTCTATCCAAATTCAAAGTCATATATAGACAATTTGTGCAGATCTAGGCACGACTATTCCATCTGACCCCTACAGCAGGACTTTGTAAGTGGAATCCCGATTTTTCAATGCAAACTTAATTATTAATGCTTGGGTTCAGCGGGGCAAGGAAAGGCCCGAACTTGGATACAGCGGAAGAGATCGAGCGAGAGGCCCCCAAAACTAAGTACCCGGTTACCATGTACGTAAATACAGTCCGTGCCGGCTTTAAGCACACCGACATAAAGCACATTTCGGACTCAAGCACGCTAAACAGATTTTACCGAATTTTTGTTTTATATAAATTACACACCTTTAAGCACGGTAACTTCGGCTTCGGGCACGCTTCATTTACAAGACAGTCAATACTTCCATGATGATACATCGAAGTTCGAACACAGTCTACACCGCAGCAGTGGAGTGTGTTAAGAGAAACCCAAAGAACGCAAGTGATGGAGAGACATACACTCACGTGCGCGGAGAGGAAAGGCAGAGAGATGCACACAGCCGCGCTTGTGGATAGGACCTAGCCTAGGGCAAAGCTACACACAGACGAAAAAAAATACAAAGAGAGTCATGGAGATGAGAAAGGGAAGCTGGCTGCGATTTCACCTTTGACCCTCGCTATCCATTAATCCTGATTATGTATCACGCGCGAGGTGGGATGAAGGTGGTGGAATGAATGTGGCACAGCGGGCAGTGGTACGCACAGGCATTGTGTAGGCCTTGTGAGCTGTATCGTGACTGGCCGTCTAAATTAAGTTTTCATTTCCCATTCGACTAAAAAACAAAACAAGCAAACAAACAAAAACTACCACGGCGGCTAAAAATAACAGTGCACACTTTGGCGGGACCTCTATAGGCCTACTTACAAACAAAGGGAAATAGCATGGGAAATTTTCTATAAAATCTCAGAATTATGTCTACTTCCCACTCAAGCATGCTTCGGCATTAAGCACGCTTTTTTAAGCTTTCTCCCGATGACCATGCCTAAAGCAGGCATGAACTGTACTGAGATTAAGCGCCAAGTTACCGTTTACGTAGACACACGCTACTCGGTATATCCAGTCACTAAAACAGACTGTTAAGTTAGGATTTAGATCTAGTAAGTCAGTAAGTATTGGTATTTTTATGCGTATTTTTATAGACGCCTTCCCGTTTCGCGTCACATACACTACCGTAAGTCAGCTCCTTCACCACTTTAGTGCTGTCGGATATACGAATAAGGTCAGGTTTTTTAAAGTTTAAATTATGGCTTAGTTTTAGGCTTTTTTTGATGCATGCTTTTGTAGTAGTCTGTAGTCATTAGGGGGTTTCAGGGGTCTCCCCCTGACGAGCGAGTACGAAATAGCTGTGTAGTAGGGCGGGCAGGGGGGTCTCGGCGGGCAGGGGGGGTCTCCCCCCCCTGAAATAAAGTGCCGTTACATATTATAAAATAACCATATTTGCAACGTTTTTCAATGCCAAAATCGTGTTCCCTAAAAAGCTACAAAATAATACCCTGCCTTCTGAGACGGGAGGGTTTCTACAAATTTACCCACTTATTATATAATGTTAATTGTTAAGTTATAACAGAGGCTTATCTTTTGGTTGTGTCTACACTCTGTCTACTCACACTGTCACTAGGCTAGACCAGGAGAGATACATCATGATACTACTGACGGATCTAGATTCTAGATATATAGGCTTCCCCTTCACTAGCCTAGCCTTCAAACCATTGTCTCGACAAGGAAGTAGGAGCCCGCCTCCTTGGCCTTTGAGGAAAGGAAGCATCCCCCCTCTCATTTTCATCGTGTCATATCAACCAACATTTAATTCAAACAAACCTTTTGTAATCTCTGTTTCCTGAATGGACATCTGAAATACATTTCTGCTGTGTCCGGTATCGACCAGGCCCCACAGAAGAAGCAAACACAAACAAAGCTTTCTCATTTTAGGGGATGCAAAGGAGCGATTGGGCTGCCGTGACCAGATGAGAAGACCTAGCCTACGTAGCTGAAAATAAAACTCAGCAGGAACTTCTTCGGAAATTAAACAGACTAGAACGACCAAGTCCCAAGTCTATTGGCTACGGTTATGACCGTTGACTGCAGCACAAAACAGGCTCAAAGCTTGGGAATATCACATGATATGTGTCACGTGATATGGTTTTAACTCGATAGGCCTACTTTTTCAACTGCTAGAAACTTGTACCTGTAGCGTCTTGCCGGTCTAAATACTAAATTTGCGAGTTTGCGAGATCGCCGTCGCCAGTTGACAGTAGGCCTATAGCAGAATCTGACGCAAAACTGTAGATTACTCTGGGCCTAGAAACTAGAAACAAAACTCAATCATCACAGCACAGAAGCAGCAGCTGTTGCAGAGTTCATTGAGTTCAGACTGCAAGAGTAGGCTTTTTCCCAAATATACCGTTGTTAGTGAAACGTGATGCACAGTCTAGATTTCTAGTTCGATCGTTTTGGAATCTGGACTGGATCAACAAGGGGGTCCTGGCCTGGGATTGTTGTTGGCTTTACTTAAGACTTAGATCTAGCATCAATATAAACTTACTCATATCATTATCATTCGTAGATTTAGTTGACTTACTTATAGGCCTACATATGGTTTTGCAGCTGAACAGGTTTTTATCAGGCTGCTTTAATCAGATTCGCAAATTTCCCAACTTCCCAGGGTTAGCGTGCAGCTCTGTTTACCCCAGATCTACTGGAAAGATTGGTGTTATCAGTTTCAGCTCATCTTGTTCAAGAGTCCACAATTGGCGTTGCGGCCAACATACTGTGAACAGGACTCCAAACTACCCACTTTTGTCATCTCAAGTAGCTATTTGGAGCTCCAAGAAGATCAGAATGTTTTCTGCTAAGGTAGGCCTGCTTCTTGTTCTCTATACTATAAGATAGTATCATACATCATGTTTACATGTTATTAATACTATCTTTATATACTTGTGGACTGTTGTGCGAGGGATGAATTTATTACCGTTCTTTTACTAGTGAATCGTCTTTTTATGTTTAGGTCAATGAAAACCAAACAATTAACACAGCTTGCAGGCTATGTTCATGGCGCCCTGAATGTAGTTTGCACCTTCGCCTTCCGTTAACTCCGTTGCATTCGGACCACCGCTGCATTAAAATTTTTCATGCAAGTATTCCTGTACTGTTTCCTCATTCACTTAGAGCGACCGTAGCGTTTCAGTCGTGCCTCTGTACCAATGGCGGATGATTCAGAGCACCCTGAACATAGCCTGCAAATTACATCCGTAAACACAGTCACTACGAACTTGTACAATTAAACTTTTAAAGGGCTCTCAAACTCAAATCATCCAAAAGATGCAAGTGCTTTAGAGAACCTTTCGAGTGTAGTTTTGATATGCTTTAAAAGTTGAGAGGGTTAAAATGTGTAATCTTTTCTTTCGACCTTCCGTCGCTTATTCAGCTGAGCTGAGCTCTATAATAAGACCCTCCCAACATGTGTCACAATAATGGGGACCCTACGCTTACAGTGTTTCAAAACTACAAATAATATGTTTGAGCATGAGGGATGCTCATTGTCTCTGTACTTTTGCTGAAAATTTAAAAGATATTCATATGTTTCATTTGCAATCCTTGACTAGAAGGGCTTCTATTGCTGAACTCAAATTTAAAACAGGTTTAAGGATTGATCAATTTGCCATTGCATGCAAGGGCTGTCTGTGACTTATCTTCTCCACTTAAAAATTTAATGGAGATTTAAATCAACCCAAGTTTAGATTGTATTCGAATTCTGTTCAGAAAAAGTATAAATTGACAGTTTGAAACTTAGATCATGTTTTCAAACTGACCTCGATAGAATACTTGTTTACTGTCAATTAGTGAGGAGTGAGGGGAACATATTATTTCTCTTCTATGGCTGTAATTTATTGTGCTTCTTCTTATTCTTGTAGATTTAATAAAAGAGCATGTGAGTGTGAGTGAAAAGTAGTGAGAAGCCGTTCCTTTGTTATAATGGCCTGTATTTATATGACCACACTTCCATGAAAATTATCTTGTAAGTGGCTTGATGATTGCGGTGACAGTTTAATTTTGTCAAAAAGAATTTTTCTGAAAGGTAAGAAAATGTTTAAGAGGTTTTGTGGCTCAGTTCATAGGTCCTACTTCTTTTCTTTCCATCTTTTCTTGCTGTCTGTCTTTCTTTTTCCCCTGCAATTAATAGGTGTTGTCATGCCTCTATGTCCTTCTCTTTACTCATACAAACTGTAATTCCTTTTGAAAGAGGTCAGTGGGTGGTTGGTGAGTGCTCTGGTGTATTTTTTAAATCTTCTTTCATATCAAACGTCTATCATCCTGATCTCTCCTCCTTGTTTTTTTGTGTTAATTACTCTCTTGTAACATATATAATATATCTTCACCACTTATTTGACCTTATTCTGTAGCAAGTTCTGTAAAACTCTCACTAAAACTAAACTAAAAAGGGTCATGTTTACCAGATGCTTCTGAGATTTTTTTCCTATCATTCAGCAATGATCTCCTTCATATTCCTCAGACCCCTTGTAATGTCGGAGACCCAGTCGCAGAAATTGAGACTCCGACCCTCGTGCTGTGTCTGGACAAACTGGAAACAAATCTGGGGACGCTCAAGGAGGCTATGGCACGCTACCCTGGTGTGGCTTTCCGACCACACGTCAAGGCTCACAAGTGTCCTGTGCTGGGACAACTTCAGGTAACTCAGGGACTTAACCAATGATCATGCATAACAAGATGGTTCACTCCTCTCTTTGAGCCAATTAAAAAGGTGTCCTCAAAATTCGGTGGCGCCTTCTTCGCCAATGCGCGAACTTTGCAAACAGATTTACTCCACTTGTGTGAAAATAATCAAAGTGAAACTAACAAGTTAGAATTCAAATTTCGGAAGAAAATTTTTTTCAAAATGGTTACGCTGACATAAAACCTCTTCTGGTGACGACTGTTTTCTTCGTTTAATTTGACTTCAGAATGAGAGGCGAGAGGTCATTAAAATAAAGAACCCCCCTAAAACTCTGCCCTGAACGAACCGGAAGAGCTGATGAACAGCAGTCGATCTGCGCATGCAAGGGGGTGCTATTCCTATTCTTCCTCTAGAGAAACGAAAGAGAGCTTCAAAACAAAGACTGCAGTGCTCTCTGAATCAATTCCGCGGACACTTTTTTGGCTGAGTGGATCACCTTGTTATGTACTATCTTTCACTTAACACTCTGCGGTCACTTGGCTCAATAATGCACCAGTGAAAATGATCTGTTCCGGTCACTTGGCGCAGTTCTGCGCCTGGCCTGAGAAGTCTGTTGCAGTCGCTCTCCTGGCTGGGTGACCAAATGGGGTATTTTGTACTGCTGGCTGTGTGACTGCAAAGTGTAAAAACCTTTACCACAATAGAGCTGTCAACATGTTTGTAAAAATGTCTTTATCTCTCTTATTTCTTTTTTGTTTTTGCCACTGGACTCTCTTGTAACACCGGTAATCTTCGGCACTTTTATGGCATTTTTGTGTTACAAGTGTTGTAATAATATTCGTAATAATATGCTTACAGTGGGTGGTTGGCAGGTGCTCTGGTGTGGTTTGCTTCTCAAACATCTATCGTCCTTATCTCCCCTCCTTCTCTTTTATGTTTGTTACTCTCTTGTAACACATCTAATCTTCTGGTGCTCATTTGACCTTATGCAGTTGCGAGCACCGTAAAACCTCTACTAAAAAAAATACTGTAATCTTTAACACTTATATGACCTTATTGTCTTGCAAGTGCCATAAAACTCTTACTAAAACTATAACGCTTACAAAAACTAAGAAACTATATTGTCTTGCAAGTGCCGTAAAACTCTTACTAAAACTAAAACGCTTACAAAAACCAAGAAACTAAAACTCAAGGGAATGACTATTTTCCTCAGATGAAGTCTGGGGCCTGTGGTGTGTGTTGCCAGACACTTACCGAAGCTGAAGCCATGGTGGAGGGGGGACTGCAGGATGTCTTCATTTCCAATGAGGTAACATTTGCAAAAATAATACTGTTGTTGTTATCCTCCTTCCCCTTTCTAATTCTTTCTCTTTTCTTCTTTTGCTCTGTTATTTGCTGTAGCTCGTCCTCTTCTTTTTCTCCTTTTTTTCCTCATCTTCTTTTGCTTCAGCTCCTCCTTTTCCTCATCCTCCTCCTTCTTCTTTTTCTCTTTTTCTTTTTCAACTTTTTTTGCTGCTCCCGCTTCTGCTCCTCCTCCTTTTTTTTTCTTCTTCTTTTGTGTCCTTACTTATTTGCTGCCTCTGCTGCTGCTGCTGCTGCTGCTCCTCCTCTTCCTCCTCCTCAAGACTTCCAGAAGAGTAAATGCAAGTTGCCCTTTTTTAGTAGTGGTTCAAGATTAAGATTGTAAAAAGTACTTTTTTCTTTCTTTATTTTTTTTCAGGTGATTGGCAGAAAAAAACTGTTGCGTCTTGCTGCGCTGGCCAGAACAGCCAAAGTCTCTGTGTGTGTGGACAGTGAGGGTAACATAGAGGACTTGAGCAAAGCTGCTGGTGACCTTGGTGTGACCCTTGACCTTGTGATAGAGGTCAATGTGGGACAAGACAGGTGAGTTCCAGCACTACCTCCATTGCTGTTGTTGTTGTTGTTGTTGTTGTTGTTGTTGTTCTAGTATGGTCTTCTGTTAACAGTATCGCACCGAATGGCAGCTGAGTAAAGACCGAGAGAGCCCTACCTTCCAGCCTAATTCAGCCCCAAACATCCCCTGCCCCCACTGCAACAGACATTTGCGTGCGAAGATCGGCCTGATCAGCCATTTCCGCACACACCCCACCCCTCCAGTGATGTGAAGTCAAGGTCATCTTCGCCAGCGAAGGACGAACATCATAGCACCGAATGGCAAACATCAAGGGAAATGATTCTGCCATGACCAGATGAAGGACAATATTATAATAAGTTATCTTCCTTTGTTCAAAATTTGTGGATCTTTTTTGCTTCCTGCGTCATGATGAGACATTGCTAGCTCATGGAGTTGTGTGTTGGAGAAGGGAAGTTTATCACTGCGCAGCTATAGAATGGTTGCCGTGAGCCTTGTGTCGTGTGTGCCTCTGGCGTCCAGTTTGCTGGAGGTTACGGGATACGAAAATATACTAGTTTAGTAAGACTGAAAATTTGAACAATTGACAGGTGGTGGTTTAAAGGGGCAAACAGAATATTTACATAGGCTTTCATTTTCGTGCATTGGCAAATCCTAGCGGTAAGTGGCGCTGGTGGTATAATGGGGGGAGTGTTACATGTATAACAGGGTTTGACTGTACAACATTCTTATTAAGTCTTATGCTTTCAGATATATTTTCTGTGTATTTTGTGGATGCACCTTTTGTTCAACATACTCCTTGACATTTAGTTTTTGCTGTCTGTCTCGAAAATGCTAAAATGTTTTGTATCTGGTCGTTTTGTATGTGGGTGATTGGAGAGTGCCACTGGTAGGTTCTACTTCTTTTCTTTCCGTCTTTTATTTCTGTGTTTGTCTTACCTTTTCCCCAGTATTAAAAAGATTGCCCTTGTGTCGATGTTCAATGGTTTCCTAAAAAACATGAATGTTTTTATGCTAATCTGAAAGGAATTTTAAAAGTATACTGGATTCCACTTAAACTGAATAAACCGGTTTTTTTTTGGTTTAGAGAGATTGCTCAAATAGCGAAGGAAAAAAATGACCAATCAAGGATTCTATTTTCTTTCGGTTTATAACTGTTTTTAGATGAACTAGGTTTTGTTTAAGTGAACTCCGTCCTACCTTCAAAATGTGGACTTTTCAGTTTGTCTTTTCGCCCCTTTGTGTGTTGCCAGGTGTGGAGTTGAACCAGGGCAGGATGTGGCGAGACTGGCCAAAAAGATTCAGTCCCTTCCCCAGGTGAACTTCAAAGGCATCCAATGCTACAACGGGTGAGAGGCAGGCTTCTTTGGTTTTGCGTTTTGGTTCTAGTTTAATGTCTTTCTAGTACAAGACTCTTGGTTAAATGTCTTTGTAGTACAAGACTCTTAGTTTAATGTCTTTCTAGTACAAGACTCTTGGTTAAATGTCTTACTTTAATATCTTAATAGTACAAGTCTTAGATTAATGTCTTACTAGTACAATTAGAGTCTTAGTTTAATGTCTTACCTGTACAAGACTCTTAGTTTAATGTATTACTTGTACAAGACTCTTAGTTTAATGTCTAACTAGTACAAAAGTCTTAGTTTTTTGTCTTACTAGTACAAGAGTCTTAGTTTAATGTCTTAGTTTGATGTCTTACTAATGCAAGACTTAGTTTAATGTACAAGAGTCTTAGTTTAATGTCTTACTAGTACAATAAGAGTCTTTGTTTAATGTCTTACTAGTACAATAAGAGTCTTTGTTTAATGTCTTACTAGTACAATCCGTGCCGGCTATAAGCACGCCGGCTTAAAGCACGTTTTGGACTCAAGCACGCTAAATGGCTCTTACCGAATTTTTGCTATATAAATTACACGCCTTTAAGCACGGTAACTTCGGCTGCAAGCACGCTTCATTTACAAGACAGTCAATATTTTCATGATGACCCGTCGAAGTTCGAACACAGTCTACACCGCAGCAGTGGAGTGTGTCAAGAGAAACACAGAGAACGCAAGTGATGGACACACACGCTCACACTGGCGGAGAGGAGGGCAGATGCACACAGCCGCGCGCGCGGACATAGGATCTAGCTTAGGCCTAGGGCAAAGCTACACACGACAACAACAAAAATATAAAGAGAGTCGGGGAGACGAGAAAGGGAGGTTGGCTGCGATTTCACCTTTGACCCTCGCTATCCATTAATCCTGATTGTGTATCACGTACGAGGTGGGATGAAGGCGGTGGTATGAGTGGCACAGCGGGCAGTGGTACGCACAGGCAGTGTGTAGGCCTAGTGTGCTGTATCGTGACTGGCCGTCTAAATTAAGTTTTCATTTCCCATTCGACCACAAAACAAAAACAAACAAGCGAACAAAAACTACCAAGGTGGGTGTCTAAATAACAGTGCACATTTTTGCGGGACCGCTATAGGCCTACTTACAAACAAAGGGAAAAAGCACGAGAAATTTTCTACATGAAAATCTCTGGATTATGTCTACTTCGCACTCAAGCACGCTTCGGCTTTAAGCACGCTTAAGCTTTCTCCTGACGACCGTGCTTAAAGCCGGCATGGACTGTACAAGACTCCTGGTTAATTGTCTTTCTAGTACAAGAGTCTTAGTTTGATGTTTTACTAGTACAAGATTCGTCTTTTTCTTGCCCTTCTTTTTGATCTTTTATGCCATTTGATTGGGTTTTTTGGGGGGAGGGGGGAGGGAAAAGGATGGGGGGGAAGGAGAATGGTAAATTAACTGTCTGATTACTTCAAATTTAGTTTCTTTTATGCTTCTTCATTGCTTTTGTTGTTGTTGTTGTTGCTGCTCAGATGGAACCAGCACATCCGCAAGGCCAGTGAGAGGAAAGCTGCTGTGGAGCTTGTGGCAGAGAAAGGGAAGAAAGCGCTGCAGGTAGATCTGATTTATGATGTTGTGTTTATCATAATATATGGGTGAAACAATGAAATTTTCATGGCTAAGTGAAGTCATGTTTTGTTGTAGCTGTGTTCTATGTACACATATATACATGCACATGCACATGCACACGCACACGCACACACGTTTACTATCTGACACTCATTCACACATGTACACACACACACACACACACAGACTCACAAAAACACACATGCACACTCATTCACACACATACTCATACATGCTCACACGCACACACACACATTCACACACACACATACTCTCATGCACGCACGCACGCACGCACGCACCCACGCACACACACACATACACACACACATGCACACACACACGCACACACACACACACAAACGCACACACACACACACACACGTAAACGCAAATGCACACTCATACACACACATAGACACATGGAAACAAGAGTCATATTTTACATGTTTGCCCCTCTGTGGAAATATTTTAGAGTAGTCCTATATTTTCAGCATGTAAAATATGTTTTTTTTACTGTCTTTTCCCCCCAGGCACTGAAAGAGGGAGGTTTTGATTGTCCATACGTTACCGGGGGTGGAACCGGAACCTTCCACTTCGAAGCCGGCAGTGGAGTGTTCACCGAAGTGCAGCCTGTATCTTTTTTTTGGTTTTGTTTTTTGTTGCTATAATTGTTCCCTGCTCTATTCACACTATTGGTAGAACCTCTTTGTGGTGGGACCTCAAAGTGTAATAAAACTTTTCTCTACCAGGATTGATCTCATAAGCTAATGATAATGAAGAAGTGCACAAGTTATTTTTGCTCTTATTTGTTCTGTTTCACTTTTGAAGAATGGGGAGAACCCAGCTGTTGCGGGATGGATAACAACAACAGCAACAACAACACTTTTAAAGGAATATTCTTCTGTCTAGATGATGCGTCTGTCATTGTCAGACATTGATTGATGAACTAAATATTTTAATGTTATTGTTGTGGTTTTTATTATTATTTTTATTATTTTGAGACCCAAAAGGGAAGTAGAGTGGCTGGAGAGGTTTGTCAATAGAAGAAAAATCTGAAAGCGCTGAATTCCAGTTGTGAAAACTGGAGTAGGTACAAAATGAAAGGGACTCTTTTGGAACATGGGCATGGACCATTATAATTTTGGCCTCAAAGGAAACATTTTTCAACAGTTTTCACAGCTGCAACTAAAACTCCGGGAAGTCGGAGATTTGGGTAGGTAAAAAAGATAGTACTGGTACCAAGCTTTTGAGACAGGAGAGATTGTTTGTCATCCTTGTTCACATACTATAAATTCTGCTTTTAATTTCCATATGAGGTCTGCAGTCAACAGCCTGTTCCACGAAAGCTCCCAAAGAAATAAAAAAGGAAAAGGGAATTTTAAGAACAATGACAATAGCTTGGCATCAATGTCCTCCGTATTCCTCTATTGGAACTGTTAAGCTTTTTAGACAGGAAAGATTGTTTGTCGCCCTTGACTATGTGTCCAGGGCTCGTACCTTATGATGGACGTGGATTACAACAAGAACCTGGACGAGAGTGAGAAGTTCGTCTCCGAGTTCCAGCAGTCCTTGTACATCATCAGCACTGTGCAGAGCGTAGCGGTCAGTTCTTATTTCTTTCTCCTTCCACCCCCCCCCCCCCAACTCCTCCCGTTTGCTCTCTTAATTCGGGTCTCCTACTCGGCTACATGTTCATTAATCTACAAAGTTGATTGAGAAGGTTTATGTCTCGGCCTATTTGTGTGTGTGTGTGTGGTGTATGCTTTTGTGTGTGTGTGTGGTGCGTGCGTGTTGGAAGTATTGGTATCGAGATCAGCCAGGGGTAAGACAGTGTTCTTTAATGCAGATTGTTGCTTGAGTCAGTATTCAGATTGTTTTCTGTTAAGTACACTGTTGCTTGCGATGTCGCATAGCAATTGTTTATATAATTATTTGTCTAAGTAAGATAATAACTTGAAAACCCAAGAATTGTTTAGAATTAAGAATTGTTGAGAATTTTTTTGAAGATTTCAGAAGTGTCATAGTGTCAATAATGATGTGGGGACCTGTATGAGAGGTTTTCCTACGTCTCTACAAAATATAGAATTTCGGTCTATCCATGTGTCACTTTCCCACTACAAGACTGGCGTCTGTCATGTAGCTGTTAGGCCATCACTCACAGGAGACCTGAGTTTGATTCCCATTTGGGGGAATTTTTATTGAGTATCTCAATCTGTCTCCTAGGACGTTGTGTTCTTGTCAGCCCTGGTTGGCTGTGACAGACACGGCCAAATGTTCTGAATTTTGTCAATTGGGCTTTAAAAACACTTTCATTAGAAAAAAACCTCAATCCCCCCCCAAAACCCCCCCCCCCCAACAAAAAAACACAAAAAAACACAGCAAAAACCAAAGGCTAAAACCATTTCTTCATCAGTTTCTAAATCTGTCTTGCTTCTAATGACTGTTGTTGTGGCGATATGCTTCTGTTTACTCCAACTCAAATTTTAAAAGAGTATAAATCACCTCCCTCACCATCCCTCCCTCAACTCATGTTGTTTCAGCCTGGTGACCGTGCTGTCCTTGACACAGGCCTCAAGGGTGTCAGTCTGGACTCTGGAGTGCCCACCGTGAGTCAGCTGATGTCGGTCTTTTCCCCTCTTCGTCAATGTTCTCTTCTTTGAGAATTCTTTTACAACTTTCTTGTCTTTTTTGTTGTTCTTCTTCACCATCTTCTTTTTCTTCACCATCTTCTTCGTCTTCATTGCTTGTCTTCTTCTTCTTCACCATCTTCTTCTTCTTCACCATCTTCTTCTTCTTCACCATCTTCTTCTTCTTCACCTATCTTTTTCTTCTTCTACTTTTTCTTCTTTTACTTTTCTTCTTCTACTTCTTCTTTTTCTTCTTCTCCTCCTCAATGTCCTTGGTATATATAATGATCACGACCATGTCTCTGTCCTTTGTTGCTTCCGTGTGGTTGACCTTGAGTGGGCCAGAACAATACCTAGCGTACTAGTATGGCTGTCATGATGAAACTATATGTGTCTGACTGCTACTACTGTCAGATTATACATATGTGTTTTATATATAATACATCACTGGCAGTGACATGGTTTCAGTACTATTAAGGTCTGTATTTAACTGCTTAAAAGTTAATCGTTAGTACAGTACAGATGCTCGGAGGGCACCTCTAGAAGTAAAAGGATATAACTTTTACTGTCTGTGTGTTATTTCTATTTTCTTGCTTTTTCTCTGGGCATGACTACTGATGTTTAGTTGATTTACATATGTATTCATAATTCTGTCAAACAACTTTTACCAAATCATATTTTAGACTACTGTACCATTGTTTTGTTGATTTACATATTCATAATTTTGTTAAAAAAATACTTTTACAGAATCAGATTTTTATTTTTAGACTACTGTTGTTTTGTTTATGTACATATATTCTTAGTTCTGTCAAACAGACTGCTTTTACCAAACAGACTGTAACTTTTTCTCTTTCTTTTCCCCAGATTTCTGGTGCAGGAGACCTGATCTTTCACAATGGCGGAGATGAGCATGGCATCGTTCGACCGAGCGGGGATCTGAAGGTACGTGGAAGGGACAACATTAGGCCTACTTAATGTGTTTTATCAGGAGCTGAGGATTTTCCTGTGTCAGTGAGAACACAGTTTCATTACATCCTGGATGGATAAAGCTGAGGCAGGTTTTGGGGTGATTGGTAGAAGGAGGTTATAAATATAAGGCATTTGAGGTGATTGATAGAAGGAGGTTATAAATATAAGGCATTTAAGGTGATTGATAGAAGGAGGTTATAAAAAGAACACCCTTGTGGTGATATTGATTCTTATTATTGAAATTCTGAATACCATGAATTCGGTTTAGTACTTGGCTGAGTGACTTCCATTACATTGTTAGAAATATAAGGTGACCCTTTGAAAAACAAGAAATTTTTATTCAAAGTGCAGAGTGCTTTAAGAGAAACTTGAAAGTCCATTGGTCGCACTCTTGTTGGGGAAAAAAAAAGGTTCTCGTAATCATGAAACAAAAAAGCAAAAATTTCTTGCTCATTGCCGGGTTGTCTTTGCTTCCTCAGGTGGGCGACCAGGTGTGGCTGGTACCTGGCCACTGCGACCCGACCGTCAACATGTACCAGTGGATCGTCGGCCTGCGAGACGGCCATGTTGAATGTGTCTGGCCCGTCAGCGGCAGGGGACCAGGTGTCTAGACGTCTGCTTTTTGTTTTGTTAGAAAACATTCCTTCACTTGGAGTTTGCTGAAAATTTGTTGCAATTGGGGACCGTTCTCAAATGAAGTCAGCTCGGCTCAGAAGGGGGGGTGGGGTGGGGGTCCTTACAAAGTTGACATCAAGCATGATGTTCTAGAAGGTTGGGGGAAAAAAGGAAAAGAAAAGAAAAGAAAGGAAGAAAAAATATTACAGACCACATTTTCTTGGCCTAAAAAATTAACACAGTTAGATTGGACCATATTATTTTTTTGGCCTTAAAACTAAAGTTAACCATTATCTCCCCATAGCACAGACATGTACATGTACATTTTGGTTTATGTCAACTGGGAAAGATAATAGAAGATGACAAGGGCGCTCATTTTTTGGCCAAATTTTAGCTGACGTCATTTGCGAAGGGTTCCTTACAATGTTTCTTTCTCGATCCTGCTGATGTGTATTTGTGTCTGCCTGTGTAGGCGCCTACTTAGGTGACCTTACCCTTGTTGAAGATTTGATATTAGAAGTTGTTGAGGAATGTTTGTGGGCTTGTGCTCCTTGGCGAGGTGTCCAAAAGTGTCATGTATCGTGTGAAAGCACAAGTTTATGGTGTAGCTGGCGAGAAATTTGTGTCTGGAAATTGGAGGAAGTGGGCGGGGGTGTGTGATAGGAGTTACGTAAATAATCTCTTCTTGTTGTTGTTATCGACCAAGGTAAATGATCTTTTAGATCCTATCAGATGTAATAATAGTTGAGTGAGAGAGGTACATTGCTGTGGATAGGTGGTAGTGAACTAACCATGGCCTTAACCCTTAAAGCCTGGAATTCTTTTTTTTCATACCTCCCTAGAATCCTGAATTAAAATTGAGATACTAGAAAAAATTAGGCTGGTTCTTTGTTTTATCTACTGTGTATTTAATTGTTGTTAGATTAAAATGAAGTTTGAAAATGTTATTTATATATGAATGCACAGTCTGAACAAAAGAGGAAAAGGTTAAAACACTGTTTTTTAGGACCAACTTTATGAGTTAAGTCTTGTGTGTGATCCCCGACTCCTCTTCAGTCAAAGTATCATTAGACCCAGCCGTAGATCTAGCCTCTGGTAGCTTTAGTGGTGATCCCCTGCCAATTCCGCTATCTTCATAATCATCATTGATGTTATGCGGAACATTGCAATCGTCTTCAACGGTCATATTTATCGATATATCCGAATGGGAGATCATTATTGGGGTCTGGTTCAGGATTAAAAATGTCAAAAATTTTGTGGCCTGAAGTGCCTGGCAGCGAAAAGTTACTAATTTTTCTTTAAAACTCAAAATTTCCAAACTTTCGGTGTAGAACTGCTCTCTTGACATTATCAGTACTTTCTGCTCGCGACAGAGTCATCTGGAGTTACATCCCCTTTTCTAGCACTGGGAATTAAACGATAAAGTCAACCAGCGGTTACCAGCGATATAGGAAAACATGGTGTCAGCGATTACCAGCAGTATAGGGTTTTAAGGGTTAAAGGAACAATTGATGTGTGGCACATCCAATAAATATCAATGTCTGTGTATTGTTATTGTGTATCGCTTGTCAGTATGTTGTTCATGGCATAAATCCGAAAGCAGTTGCGCTGAAGAAGAAAAAAACCTGATAGAGTGTGTTGTAGCTGTTGATGAAAGTAAAGGAATAGTATGAAAAGTATGATGATACTGTTTACTCTACAGTACTACTACTAATAAATAGTAAAGAGCATTTATGCTGGGCATTACCATAATTTTCTAAAAAATGCTCAATGGGCATTACATAACTACATGTATAATATACTATAATTATTATTATTACACCTAAGCTTTCAGTGGATTGTGGAAATACACTTTGTGTGCCATATAGGTTTATGTATGCTTTTTATTTGGTTGAACGTTTCAGGATTTTTCTGTGATTTACAGGATTTATTTTTTAAAGGGTTTAATATTCTCTTATTTCCTTTATTGTGATTCCTGCACAAAAATTATATTTTCCCTATATGAATAACAATATATAGAAATCATAATATTGGGTACTACTTATTAATGCCATTTATTCATGCTTAAAAAGTTTCTTGATATAAAATAAAACGAGATTTTTTGTTGTTGTTGAAAATGCTTCATTTTCAGAAATTTTACGAGTTGAGATTCTGTCTGGAAAAACTACATCAGTAAATGAAATTTTACTTTGATGACAAATTAAATATTGAATTCTGTGTTTAAAAAATCTTTGTTTTGTGAATAAATGCTTATGAGAGGTAAGTGATCAAGACTGATGGTGTGTGTCCTGTTCTTTTTTATGTATCCAACCACATCCACTGTAATACAGAGAAGGTTAGAAATACAAATAAAGCTGCATTTTTTTTTACAGTACTTTAGATGTGACTGAGAAATCATCAACGATGCATTCACAAATTAATTTTTTTTTTTTTTTCTTTCAGTAAATGTTCACAGTAACTCAATTTGAATTGTTTTGTAGTAGAGCTGGCTGTTGATTTAGACTCTGCCTGTCTGGGTGAACCAAGATTTGTAGGATTCATTCTAGCTGAAAGGCAGAGTTACTTGATAGATATCTACCCCATGTGAGCATCAAAGTTAGACAGTTGTATATGAGGTGCAGAACTAAGCCATTGCACCACAGACTCTGTGGAGTTGCAGCTTGTTACCATGTAAAATACAATTACAGTGGGTGTCGCATTCAACGAGGTTGCCGGGACTGGCTTGTTGTCCTCGTTGGATCTGACCTCTCGTTGAACGTGACTAAGACTAAAGAAAAGAAAGGAAACAAGTTATTATTTCATACAATGTACCTATACCAATACCAGTATTTATAACAGATGTTCCCCTGATGACGAAAATCGCAAACAACATCAGTGTGCGCGTGTTTGAGCTGTGTTCTGACCGTCATTTATGTATTTGTCAATATTTTTTTTCTGGAACACTTCTCGTGAGTTCATCCAGTTCACACAGCCCGCTTCGCGTTCCCACTCACCCCCTCCCATCCCTACTGAACGCTAACCCTCGCCCATTCTCTTGGCTGTATAGGGCCCATATTAGGAGGCACACTAGATCTAGCAATACAATGTGTTAGGAATCGAGGATGGGCCTTGTGCTTCGCGTGAGATGGAGAGAAAGGAGTAAAATGCTTCGTTTTTTTGGGCCGCTAATTGCTTTTATTTGGTTATCGCGACCTCGTTGAAAGCGACTTTGGTCTGTTTGTAACCTCATTGGAGCTGACGTACATTTACAAAGAGATAGAGAGGAAAAAATGGGGGATTAAGGATTGCCTTGTTGGAGCCGACTTTTCGTTGAATGTGACCTCTTTGAATGCGGCACCCACTGTACAATGTCTGTCTTGACTCACACTGTCACTTTTTCCACTTTTACCTTGCAGACAATTAGACTGGCGTTTGTGGTGTAATGATGAGTATTTTCCTCATGGCATGCAGAGGATGCGAGGATGGTTCTAGATTGTATCACGATTTTACCAAGTACGTCGACCTGCTGGGTTCTGTATCTCACTCATCCTCAGGGAAGCAGCCCACTTCCTAAATGATCTACATTGTGTCGATAGAGATGTGAGACACTAACATTTTTTTTCTCCAGATGATTAGTGCGTATCACCTGCTTTTGAAAATGCTGCAGCCTAATTTTTTAAAGCTAAGAATAATAAAATTCCAAGTACTGCTCAATACATTGTTGTAGAAAGAGGAGTGGTACCCTTCATTCATACTACGCCTTTCTGACTATTGTCAATTTATTTTTATACACTGACATTTGTCTTAGCGTAGTCCTGCCTCTGGTCAATCATACCCTTTACCACCACCTGCATCAGAAGTTGTGGATCTCAATATGTCGACTGCGGTATAGTTTGTTGTAAATAGTGTAAATGGATGGTTGGCGGGTGCTCTGGTGTGTTTTGCCCCTTCTTTCCTATCAAACATCTATTGTCTTTATCTCCCCTCCTTTTTATGTTTATTACTCTCTTGTAACACGCTCTAAATGACCATATTGTGTTGCAAGTGCCATAATTAAAACAAAACCTAAAACTAACTAGATCTAAACTAAATAGAGTAAACAAATGTCTTGAGAGTGGGAACATAGTCTCATGCTATGCCTTTTATGAGATAGTGAAGAATTTACTGATGCAGCATTAAGAATGCATCGTATTCACATATATGTGAAACGTGCTGACAAAATCAGTCACTTCTCGGATTCGAGCCCAAAAGAAATATATACATCACGCTTATAGATGAAGTTTTTACAATTTATAAATAAGTATAAAGTAACAAAAGGCATGTTATACTTTAAAAATATTGCATCTGTAGAAAATCTCATATAAGGTCTTCAGTCAACAGCTTGTTCCACTAAAGAACACTTTGAAAAAAGAAGAAAAAAAGGAAAAGGGAATTTTTATAATAACAATAGCTTGGCGCTAACATCCTCAGTATTTTTGTATTGGAACAGTAAAAATATTTTTTAAAACAAGTAAGCCTAATTATTATTATTATATTATTTTTTTGGAGCTCTTACTCCACTTGCACAATCGTTGTCTTTACACGCTTGAGGCAGGTAGAAATACTTGTTGAAGGGAAAAACTTAATATACGGTATGCATTTTTTCCCCCGAATTTGCGAACATAACACGAAGTAAGAGGGAAAACAGTTGTATGAATCACTTTTTGTTTGAAGATAAAATACTATTTTTGCAGAACGTTGTAAAATCTAGATAGATCTGTATTCTCAAAACATGGTGTAAAAATCTGTCAGACATTTAAGTCGGGGGAAAAGGTGGATAACAGACAGAACAAAAATCCAAACAAATGAAAGCTCAATCAATAATAAAGCATTTGATTGAATCCTTACTCTGGCATCTGCGTTTGTTGCCCTTTTTTTTGTCCAAAAGTTGCCAAAAGTTGGCACAAAAATGGCAAAAGCTACCATTAATTTTCAAGCTTTCAACTCTCTGTGACGACGTTATAGCATGTTGATAGAGGTAACTTAATCTAAAGCACCAGAATTTCTTGTGTTCTGTTTTAAGCAACCAGGACATCATTTGTAGCCAAACAGGATTTAAAAGTGAAAAATAAAGGTTTCACAACAGAATGGAATCAAAATTAGAACAGCACATAAACAACCACAAAAATTAACAAATAAGACGTGTGTCAACCTATCTGAAGATTGTCCGTTTTAACGCTGAACGTGTGTAATTTAAGAAAAAGTACAGGATATTACTTACATGTAAATTATGGAATCACACACAAGGGGCCTGCAAGTGTGAGTATTCAGTTTTGGTAGAGACACGCTCTAGCATAACACTTTTGTATTAAACAAAAGGGGGGAACAACATCAAATTAAATGACATACGCCATATAAACATCAAAAACAGAAAAAAGAACACATCAGAACAATAAAAAGGAAAATTGAAACACAATAAAGAGGGACAAATTAAAGGGAAACAGCAATACATGAATGGTATGTAATGTACTCATTCTTCACATGAAATTTCATTGAAAATAACAAATCAACGTGGTGTCAACAAGTGAAAAATTTTTAAGATACGAAGTGAAGCGGAAGGGAAAGTGAACTTTCTAGTTTTTCTTTCTAAAAGTAAAGTTAATTAGGTTCGGTTTTTTTATTTTTGTTTTTGTTTTGTATGTTTTCATTTTTTGTTCCTCGATTTTTATTCCCCGGGGTTTGTTTTTCGATTTTTTTATTCCCCAGCGGAGTTTTTTTTTCTTTTCTTTCTTTGTAAAACATTTTTTTGGGAAAAGGCAAAATTCGCGGTCGCGATTTGCAGACCAAACTTTGCCAAAAATCGCGGCCGCGATTCGCGGGTCGTGGCCGCGACAAACGCAGATGCTAGCATACTCTACCGAGCATTTTTTACTGATGAAGACTAGACTAGCTAAATGAAAGGGTCCAATCTTGAACAAGAAAAACATAAATGGAATTTTAAAAAAATCAGAATTTTCTCGGAGCCACACATGAAATCCATCTCAAGATAGTAAATGTCAAAACTGGAATAAAATGACACATAAATACATGTAATAATGTCTGTTTCTTTTTACCCCTCACCGGTAGTCAAAGACAACATTTTAGCTTCAGCCAGATCAACTCAGCAGTTGTGCTGCCCTTGTACAGATACATGTATCTTTTTTTTTTTGCGCTAAAAGTCCGCAATCTGCAAGACTTAGAAGCAACAATAAGAAATTAAAAATTTGTTAAAAATCTATAGACCCTGAATAATACTAAAAAAAAGTCCTCATAGAACTGAGGTCACGTGCATCATAAATCAACTCTCTGTACAGAACAAATCAATAGTTGAGCTGCCCTTGTTGCTGTTGTAGACTGCATTTTACTTTTTTTTTCCACCAAAAAGAACTAGTTCTAGATCCAGCGCAATGTCGCTTTAAATTTTAAGTCTTGGTTGGTAATGTAATACAGAATGCTGTAAACTCCAAACACCTCTTCACGAGGAGTGTAAAAAACCCCCCAAAACCCCCCTAAAAAAACCCCCCAAAACCCCCAGACATTGGTTTTTTTGTATATTATATAAAACCCTATTTCTGTTTTTTTTAAAATTACATTTTTAAATTATTAATTTAATTGACTTCAACTGGTGGAGTATAGGGCATAATAGTAATAAAGTTCTGTATCTATCAGGGTGATATTCCAGGAAATTTGTAACATTAGTAACAAGCATTTTAAAAAATATTGTAAAAACTCTCTTGTGGCCAACGGTATGGCAACGAAATGACAAAAATATTACCTTCAAGAATACTGACAATAAATTAAACCTCTAGGAATCTTCTTTTTCTTCTTCATGATCGCATCACACTTGAACTCCGACACCCGTCATATTTTGGGCCTCTAGGCTAGGATACTAGGAATGAAGTTAGAACTCCAGACGACCGTCCCCGAAAGGTCCAGAAAACTTCACTTCGTTCTCTCCCGGATTGGCCTTGAAGACAAAGGGAGGGGCAGGGAGGCTGTTGACGGTGGAATAGACAGCACACTTCTTGAAGGTACAGGGTGAAGTCCGCCAGGCGTAGCGTACCCCCATGATCTTCTCATCGTTGCCGCAGACGTCAGATTTCAAAGTGATGCTCGTGGAGTTAGAGGCCACACTGGAGGTGACCACCCATTTCCCATAACTGCCGTCCTTCCGCTCACAGAAGAACTGGGGGTGAAGTGAGAAATTATTAAAAAATCAGTGGGATTATGAAAATGTGAGGCAGCGTGGTGGAATCAGACACTCGTCAAGTTTTGGGCATGTAGAGTTACTGGCATCATCTTGAAGCTGGTTCACCTGTCTTTGTTTGGAGGGAAAAAATATCCATTTATCTTGAATACAGGTCGAGATATTTACGAATGAATGAGGTGGGGTCACCTGTTTTCAGAGGCAAAATTAGTGAGAAAATGGCCGCCAAAGATTAGTTTTTTCCTTAGCTTAACTGGTAACTGAAAATTTACATTTTTTTGCCTTTAATCAACGTTTTTCAGAAAAATCCACACAGAAATGAGCTCTTTATTGGGCATGAAAGGTGTTGAGCCAAAAAACAAAACACTGAAAAAAATTCACAAACCTGCAGAAAAATGCAAGTTTTTTCACTTTGATTATTTTGACGAGAGCCTGATTCCACCACGCTGCCTCACAAATGTATTGGTTTACATAGCAATAACACACACATATACAGTGCAGCCTCTCTATAACCACATCGTCGTAGGAACCAGAAAAAAAATGTCGCTATAGAGAGTTGTCGTTATAGAGAGGCAACCAATAACAGTACCAATGACATATTTAAGGAAAGAATCGGGACCTGGACACCATGCCGCTATACAGAGGATGTCGTTATCGAAAGTTGTTATAGAGAGGCTGCTCTGTACATAAACTCAGTCAAAATTGTCCAAAACAGCCAGCCATTGTCAAGAAGAAAAGTGGTAGCCTTAGACAGGCGAATTCCTGAACACTGTTAAATACAATTTTATAATAATATTATGCCTATAAATTAGTGGGAAGTGAGATATGGTCGTTGGGTTTAGGCGCAACAGATGAATTCTGAGTCTGTTGAGACTAAATCCATCCAGTACACACACACACACACACACACACACACACACACACACACACACACACACACACACACACACACACACACACACACACACACACACACACACACACACACACACCGACACACACACACACACATACACATACACACACACACACACACACACCCTCTAACTCTCACTCTCACCTCAAATACGTCCTGACTGCGCACGACAAGTTTCCAGGTAGAGCCGTAGTCTAGCACATAGCCGGAGGAAGAAGGCGCGCCGGACCGAGGGAACGGGCCCTGATAGACAGTTTTCTGATTGTAAGCCACGGACAGTCCACTTAGGGCCAGGCGGGCGCCCACGTCTGCTTTGTCCTGTGGGTGTATCCTGAACACAGAGAGAAAGCAAAGACGAATGGTCATTTTTTTCAGTTGAGGGAGAGACAAAAATTCTTGAATGTACGAGAATAACAATTTATCGTAGATCGTAACAAATACAGTGAAGCCTCTCTATAACGACATCGTGGGGACCAGAAAAAAGTGTCGTTATAGAGAGTTGTCGTTATAGAGAGGCAACCATGTCGCTATACAGAGGATATCATTATATCAAAGATCGTTATAGAGAGGCTGCACTGTACAAATTTGCTGCGGCATGGTATACATACACACACATACTTACACCTATCAACATATCACCCCCCCCACACACACACACGCACTCACCCACACAATCACAGAAACTTACACAGGTGCAATTATACCTTGTGAAAGTAGGAGAGACATTACAGAAGCAATGGGTTGTGCTTTGTTTCATCCTTTAGGGGGTTGAAGTTGAATATTTGTAGTGTTGCAAAGAGAAGTAATAGTAATCATTCACAAATCTTGATCTTGAGCAGTTTCAAGAAAATGAATGTTTATAAACCAGCCCCCCCCCCCCTTTCCCCCAACTTAAACACCGGGAGTTTTCTGGCAGAGATAACTGTAAGTCTTGTTGATCTGTAAATACAGTGCAGCCTCTCTAGATCTATAACGACATTCGATATAGCGACATTCCCTATATAGCGACATGGTACTCAGGTCCCGATGTTTTACATTTATATATCATTAGTAATATTTTTGGTTGCCTCTCTATTACGACAGCTCTATTCTATAACGACATTTTTTTTCTGGTCCCTACGATGTCGTATGATAAGCTGCACTGTAATAAAAAAAAGCAGATTAGAGAGTTTTCAGTCAAGTGAGATGGCCCTAACAGCTCAAGTTATACTCACTAAATAGAACTTGTGAGGAACTTACGCGCCGTAGGTAGAGTTAAACCCAGGCAGATCCAGTGCCACGGCCATGAACACGTTGGGCATCTTGGGATTGGGCACGTAGCCGTAGTCAGCTGTCTGATGCCAGCGGATGTCTGGGAACCCCACGGTGATGTACGGAGGTTGTGGGGCGTTGGGCGCCAGCTGAAACAACAAAGGAGAAACAAAAAACCCACACGACTGTCACTATTATAATTAGCATTTCATCAGAGATTTACCAGCATTGTCGTAACTCAAAGTTCTCACAGGGTACATCATTAGAAATCAAGTGTTAGTTTACGCGCTCAATTTCTTCTTCCTCCCTTTCTTTTCCTTTCTTCTCTATATTATTTAATTTCGTCTTCTTCTTTTTCTACTTATCTTCATCATTATTATTCAACATTATGATCATCATTATTATTGTTGCTTTCCTTCTTTATGCATTTCTGACTACATTGTGATCATTCATGTTCAAGATGCATTACGGGAATATAGTTCATATTCGCATTGGAATAATAAAAGTTTAAATTCACTGAATTCATATGCCGTGAAAGTCAAACACTTCAATTTAAACAGTATGAGCCCTAATTTTCTTTTTCTTTTCTCATTCTTGAAGATTTCCTTTTTCTTTTTGTCCACTTCTTAGACTGCTAAGTAATTGTTAAACGCTTCTTTGTGGTCTAATAAAAGTGAAGCAGTGTGACAAAATGAGTTGCTTGTCACACTCAGCCTTTTCCACATATTGGGCAAAACCACAAGTTTATCAACGTTGCATTTCTCCCCAACTTTTAAGTAACGGTTGCTTCCCGAGAAGCCGAGAATAAATCTGAGTGTTCTAAGGTCTTATGGGGTAATACATGTAGTTTAGATTGTAAAGCACGTAGAGATTTCTGCCGACTGGAAAATAATGAGAGCAATACAAATGTTATAGTTATTTTTACCAGTACTTTACTTTAGAACAAAAGCAACTAGATTATTACTGTTTTAACCCTCTTGTACAGGCTGAACAGATCTGTAATGTAAAACCGTAATTATAATGATTGTCTGGTGTGAAAATGGGAATGAACTGTGTTGCGAGTGTTGAAAGAAGGATACTTTATTGTCACGGTTGTGTCCCCCTTCTTGGTACGTCACACATTCGCCTCGTTTCCAATATGCTCACGGGATTTCAGTGTGATCTAAAGAAAATAAAGTTCAGTTACCGGCAGGCAGGCAAAGAGAGCAGTTGTGTTGTTGTCTCTCTTCTTGAGTTAATATTTTTTTTTATAATGTGAGGCCATAGGAAGCCGTCACAGTAATGTTTTATTGTCTAATGGTCGTTGAGCGCGTGCCCTTCAGCCCAACGTTGTGCTGTCAGAATGAGACAAGTGCCTTATTTTAGTCAAATTGCTACACACATCACCTGCACAAAGCCAAAGGGGAACTGAGGGTTGGTTTGCTGAGACACTTGACTGAACTTTTCCCGCCAGTCGGCGATCATGCCAGGGAAGGTGCAGTTGTAGATGTTCATCTTGGTGCCACCGTCTGCATCAGTTTCACCTGAGGTACAGAGGAAAAACAAAAAACAAAAAATACTATGGACGGTAATCCATCCACTTGGGGGAACAGATACTACACTTTGGTCTTAGCCAAAAGGCCGAGAAGCCTACTGAGAAGGTACCCACACAGTTATAATTATAACTGTAGACTGTCTTTTAGGTTGGCGTGGTAGTTGTTAAAAAGACAAACAGCAGGGTTACGATTTTCTAATGATTCTTCAGTTCCAAGGTTCACACAATGTAAGATAATTCTCTAGCTTGGCCTATCTTCTTCTTTTTTTCTTCTTCTTTATCTTCTTCTGTTGCTGATCCTGCTTTTTTCTCCGTCTTCCCTCTCCTCTTCTACTTCTTCTTTTTCTTCTTTTTCTTTTTCGGTGTCTCTCTGCTAGGGCTCAAGGGCTTTTGACTGTAAGATCTTAATCTCACAGTGCAGTGTTGCTTTTTAAAAATCTATATGGCTGTTTTGTCAGAATAGAATGAAGAATCATCTCTTGCCTGACAGACAGCCATGTACCGTTTTTGAAGGTACTTTAAACATTCGTGCTATCTACAGTATGGCATCAGTTTTGGGTTGGAATTAATTTTGAATTTTGGCGAAGGGTCTATACATTTTGATTTTACAATTGCAAAGGGACCTTTAACGTTCACAACGTTCACATAGGATCTCCAAAGTTTGTCATCCTTATCTGGAAATACTAAGTACTCGATCCTCCCTACCCCAGGATCAGGGAATATGAAAAAATCTTCACAACTATAAATTTGAAAAGGAATCTGCCCCACTTTCAAACAAAGTTCCGAAAAGCCCAGCCCATCCCAATTCGTCTTCATCATCATCATCATCATCATCAAAAGGCACCAGAGGACTAACATAAACAACTAAATGAGTAATCAGTAAATTCTATTCGTTTGCTTTAGTAAGATTTTACGGCGCTCGCAACTGCGTAAGGTCATATGAGCGCCAAGGGGTGGATGTCAACAGAGAAGTCAAAATGGGGAATCAGGCTTACTCTGCTCACCTCTCTAACCTCAACAGTACAAAGTCTGTTTCGACTATCAAGGCACCCTGGGAACAGTAGTTAACAAAAGAGTGACACACATACAAAAGAAGTTGAGGAAAAAAGAAACACGACAGTAAGGATGAGGGGGAAAAAAGCAGCAATTATTATTACTCCTATGTTGTTCCGGCACAGTATGAGCATGACATTGATAAATCAGTCCATTTACAATAAATCTAATGTGCATAAAAACATGTTAATATCCCCCCTTTGGGAATGGCCTAAAGACAACTTGACAACTTCAGTCAGTAGCACTGCCCTGGGCGGATCGGGGGGGGGGGGGGGGGTGATGGCGCTTTAAAATCTGTGTCCATCACAAAGACCACAGAGGAGGTTCTACAACAGACCCTGACCTTGGTACCAAATGGCGCCGCGCAAGGTCATCCCCAGGAGCGGGTAGATCATGGAGTTCCACAGGACGGAGTCGTCTCTCGGGACGTAAAAATCCCGCGCTTGAGGAGGGGAGTTGGGGCTGTCTGATACAGGCAGACTGCTGGGTACAAACAGGTAGAAAAAAGATAACATCCATCAAAACAACATAACAGTTGATAACAATGATAATAACAAAATGTCACGACGCCGAGGAATCAGGCACTCGTCAATTTTTTTGACATATGGAGTTAATGTTATTATCTTAAAGCTTGATTATTTGTCTTGATTTTGGTGGAAAAAAGTACCCATCTATCTTTAATAGAAGTTGAAATATTTGAAATTGAAGGAGGTGGGGGAAGCCTTGTTTCTGAGATAAAATTAGTGAAGATATATCAAAAGAACACGACAGATGATGATAATAGTAATAATAATAATAATAATAATAATAATAATAATAATAATAATAATAATAATAATAATAAAAATAAAAAGAATAATAACAATAATAAGGATACTACTACTACTACTGCTACTACTACTACTACTACTACTACTACTACTACTACTACTACTACTACTACTACTACTACTACTACTACTACTACTACTACTACTACTACTACTACTACTACTACTACTATATGTATGTATTGTATTATTATTATTATTAGTATTACTACTATTATTATTGTTATTATCATTATTATTATCATTATTATTAACATTATTATTATTATTATTATTATTATTATTATTATTATTATTATTATTATTATTATTATTATCATCATCGTTATCATTATCATCATTGTTATTACTATTATTAACATTTCTTTCTTAAACAGTACAACTTTATCCTCTTTGATTTGTACGATGTGCGTCTCTTAAGTAAATTTCCGCACCGTACTTATGTCTATGTCCTGGTAATCTCTGCGCCAAAACTTTCTGTACGCATAGTAGACCTACTATTTTGACTTGAGCTATAAATTGTCAAAAAATGCATGGCTCGCAGAGATGTGAAGGGAGGTAATCGATCTATAGTTTTGTCCCTAAAGTAGCAATCTGTGTTGCTGCCCTTGAATCTCTGACACACCGATGCCATAACACTATTCACGTATCCCTCGAACCACGGATCCCTTGAACTACTGAGGTCGGTCCCGACGAATTCGAGCTATCTGTGCTGTACTGTAAATATGTTATGATTTAAATAGGAAGATGCAAACAGCTGGAGAGTCGAGAGTTGGAACAACTTTATTATATTTTTTGCTTCTCATGATTTTCACCGTCTCCTACTAGGCACAGCTCACTTAAAAAAAATCCCTTGCACACTTTTAGGAGGTTAACTTCTTCTGATTAGCAGAAAAAAGTACGTATGATAGTGTCTAAAAGTGAATTACGTACATACTTAGTATGACAAGTAACTGTTACTGATAGAAATTCAAAGATTATAGATGTAAGTCATTGATCTGAGAGCGGTGATGATTTTAGAAATAATGGTGGTTATGATTGATGATGTGGGATTGCGCTTAAGTAATGTTAACGTTGGTCCTATCTTCCTTTGCTCCAATAAGTCCCGAACGCAAAGATCACTTGATCTCATTAGATTTCTCAAATCGATATTTTCTATGCTCTTTCTGTTTAACTCGTTTGTGGAAAATTTCAAATTTTACTTTTCCTTTTTTAACTCTTTCCTTCCTCTGGTATCCTTAGGATGGAGAGGGGAGGTGCAAGTTTCGGCCCTGTGCTAGGCGTGTAGCGTCTGTGATATATATGTTATGTTGTTCCAGGACCCTTTTAACCCCATCCAGCCATGTCTTTCTTGGTCTTCCTCTTGATTTGAAGACGGATTCTCGGGTGTTGTAAGCTCTAGCCGCGAGGGGCTTTCTGGTTACATGTCCGAACCATTTGACTCCGTGACGCTCTGTGAATTTTATTACTAGTGGTATTCCAGTTTGTAGACCCATGTTTCGTTTCTTAAGCGGGCTCTTCTGGTGATGTTGATGGTTTTGCGGAGACACCTCATTTTGCATGCATCGATTTTTCTTTCTCGTGCCTTGTTTAGAGACCATGTTTGGCACTGGTATGTTAAAGTTGATATGAAGATGCTATTGGTGAGCTGGGATTTCATTTCGGTTGAGATGTTCTTGTGACTGAGCAGGGGTGCTAGCTGGCAGGTCACTGCATTTGCCTTCATAGTTCTTGTTCCTATTTCTTTGTCCATACGCCCATCTTGTGTGAGATGCTTCCCAAATATTTAAATTCCTCTACTTGTTGGAGCTGTGTTCTATCAATAAGAATGTTGAGTTTCCCTGGGTTTCTGCAGATCTTCGTAACTTTTGTTTTTGAGATGGAGATTTTTCATGTTCAGATATTTACATTCCTCACTTTAATTTTGTGGTGTTTTTGAAATTCCTTTTAGTCTGTATTTAATATAGTCTGGTCATCGGCAAATAGAAGTTCGTTCAGTTCAGTGATGTTGTCATTTGCTGCTTTCGTGATCTTATCCATGTAAGTGATGAAGAGAAGCGGAGAGAGAACACACCCTTGCCTTACCCAAGACCTGATGGGGAACCAGTCCAACAGTCCTTCTGTTGATCTTACGGCACACAGGCTGTTTATATAAAATGCCATGATGTTCTCCAGCAATTGTCCTCTTACACCATATTCCTCTAAGACTTCCCAAAGTTGACATCTATCAACCTGGTCAAACGCCTTTTCTTGATCCACGAAGACGATACTGAGGTCTTTATTATGTCCAAAGGCAGTCTCACACAACCGTCTTAATGCAAAGACAGCGTCAGTTCAGCCCCCGCCTTTTCGGAAGCCAAACTGTATTCACTGAGTTGAATCTCTACAATTTGTCTCATTCTCATTCCCAGTATCTTGGCAAACATTTTGCCCACAGGGCTAAGAAGGGATACTCATCTGTAGGTTCCAGTAACTTTTGTTACCTTTCTTTTTCCAAATAGGTACAATGACAGCTCGTTGCCAGTCATCAGGTGTTGTTTGTGTCGCCCAGGGCAGGTAAGATAATATCCTCCATGAAAATTTTTAAGCACCCTAAAAACCCCTGCCTTCTGATAACATAGATGACAAAAGAGGACACAAATTCCAGCTCACAGCCACAGTACTGTTAAAGTTCTATTTATATTATAGAACATTTTGACTCCTGATTTTTATAGAGGGCCAAGGATCCACACCTGATCCTCTTCTCCTGCTACTTTTCCAGAATCCTGTCGAAATTGTCTAAGAATGCCAATCAATTGTTGAGGAGAAAAGTAGCCATTTTAGACAGATGGGCGTCTTATACGGTGCCATTGAAACATTAAAAAACCGCAAATGAGGAAATGAGAATTGGCCTTTTGTACAGGTGATTGTCTTACACATGGGGCTTTTAAAACATATTCTACTGTATTTTGGTGCATTTTACAAACAAGAAGTTACAAATTATTAAAACAACCCACATATCCCCATATCTTCTTCCACTGAACGTGGGAAATCATTTCCTTATCTCTCTCCCCCCTCTTCCACCCACCCCCCTTATAGAAATACTATCGAACCTGCTCTAAATGCTACCTGTCACAGACAATTACCCGTACAAACGACAAACAACCACTTTCCACTTCCCATCATAATGATATTTTTAAAAACTCTTTATCTCAGGGGGAAGAAAGGGGGGGGGGGGGAGGGGTGACCCACTGTGCTGTGGCTCTCTTTTGGTATGAAATCTATAAGTAACCCATAAGTCACTAAATTGGTAATTAAATTAAATAAAAAACAAGTGAACCTATTTTGATGGTTCTTCATCTAATGAATTAACTCCAGGTAAAAGGTAGTAGTTTGACGGCGAAGTCGTCGTAAAGGAATGAGCCCAAGCCGCTGCCTGTAGTTCACTGGCTCAGTGGTTCAGACCACGAGCCGCTGGGATTGGCTTGCTGTAGATAAGGAGTTACAGATATTATCATGACACTGTGTTACACGTCAACTTGTCCACAGCAACCACTTTTCTCCTCGTCACTGTGTGGCCGTCTAGGACAATTTCGAATATACTAATAATAATAATAGAAAATAGATAGCATTTGCATAGCGCAAATCCTCGCTCAACAGCAAGCTCTATGCGCTTCACAATCTATACTATTACTCCAGCAGACCTGAGAGCATTCTGAAACAACCTCAACTTCCTGGGAAGCATACAGTGCAAGCAGGCGCTAAAACACTAACATCCTGACAAGATCTTTCGCTGTCTATGACCGTGTACCCATTCCCACCTGGGTGAAGTGAAGAAAATTCGTGTAAAGTGCCTTTAAGAAAAGTGCTATTTCTATACATACATCTCAGCATCTCCCACTGTCCTCCTGCTTGTGGCTTTAGCTGCTCTACATTTGTGGAGAGACTCGGGGGAAGACCAAGCGTTTAGCGGCGTGCCGCCCCAGTCTGAGGCGATCAGACCAACAGGAACCCCCGTGGCCCTGTGCACTTGCTTGCCAAACACCCAGCACACAGCAGAGAAATAGTCCCAGGCCCAGCGACCCATGGCGCCTGTACATGGAAAAAAAGATCCCCTCCACCTTAGTGAGTAGTTTGGGCCCAAATCACCTCTCACAGAAAAAACAACAACAACCCCAAAGCCTCCAAATAACCCCAAAATTCATGAGCAGTTGAGGCTAAATGCAACTCGAAAATGGTGTCATGTGGATAGAAAGAACATTTTCACACAAAAAAATTCCAACCCATTTTTGTTAAGACTATGAATGAAAAGTATTTTTTTGCACTATCCAAAAAACAAGAGACTTTTAGGGAAAAAAGAAAGCATTTATCAGGTTTGCCCACTTCATCTTATAATAGCAGCTATGTAAGAAATAAGAAAGATGATGATGATGTTAATGATGATGATGATGATGATGATGATGATGATGATGATGATGATGATGATGATGATGATGATGATGATGATGATGATGACGATGTTGATGATGATGATGATGATGATGATGCTGATGATGATGATGATGATGATGATGATGATGATGATGATGATGATGATGATGATGATGATGACGATGGTAGTGATAGTAATGGTGATGGTTGTAAAATAAAATCTTACAGATATAGAGACCTTGAAACTTTTGTTGAGCATTAGTTTATTTGCAGTATTGACGTAAACTGTGAGGCAGCGTGGTGGAATCAGGCTCTCGTCAACTTTTTGGGCATGTAGAGTTATTGGTGTAATCTTAAAGCTTGTTCACTTATCTTTATTTGGGCGAAAAAAATATCCATTTATCTTGAATACAAGTCGAGATATTTACTAAAGAAGGAGGTGGGGGTCACCTGTTTTCAGAGGTAAAATTAGGGAGAAAATGGCCGCCAAAGGTTAGTTATTTTCTTAGCTTAAGAGTCCGTGGTAACAGAAAATTTACATTTTCTGAGTCTTTAATCAACGTTTTTCAGAACAATCCACACAGAAATGAGTTCTTTAATGGGCATGCAAAGTGTTCTGCCTAAAAACAAAAATTTGATAAAAATTCACAAACCTGCGGAAAAAAGCAAGTTTCTTCATTTTGATTATTTTGACGAGAGCCTGAGTCCACCACGCTGCCTCACATATAATATTTCCCCATAAATAGTTCAGGACAAAAATCTGTGGCTTCATGGTAAAATCAGGCACTCATCAAAATAATGATATCGAAGACAAAGGTATTGGGCAATTTTTATCGAATTTATTATTTCAAAAAGATTTTAGCTCAACACATTTTGTGCCTATTTAAAAACACATTCCTACTTGGATTTTACTGGAAAATGTTAATCGAAGGCACAAGATGTAAATTCAGCTTAGGAAGTCACCAAACTTTAGGGGCATTTTCTCGCAAATTTTACCTCATACACCAGACGACTCCACCTCGTTTAATTCCAAAAATCTCAATTCAGTTGTGTTATGACCGTAAGAATTGCTACACCGTCCAGAAAACGGAGTTCTCTGGTGGCATAGTAACCATTGCACTGACTTTCTAAAAAATAGTATAGGTTTAACACACCTATCAACACTTTAGGTCGTTTTTAAAAAGCAGGACCTCCGAGTTTAACGTCCATCTCCGAAAGGTGCTGAGCCTAAAACAAAACAAAAACCAAATAAAATTCTGTAAAAATTCCCAAACCTGCAGCCAGAAAAAAATGCCAGTTTTTTCACTTTCATTATTTTGACGAGCGCCTGATCTCACCACGCTGCCTCACACGTATTCTTTGAAAACTTGTCAAGGAAAAAACCCCTGTTTAGAGCTATTACACTCAAACCTTTTCCCAGAACTTGTCAAGGAACAGACCACTGTTTGGAGCTATTACACTCAAACATTTTTCTAGAACTTTTCAAGGAACACACCACTGTTTGGAGCTATTACACTCAAACATTTTTCCAGAACTTTTCAAGGAACAAACCACTGTTTGGAGCTATTACACTCAAACATTTTTATACAACTTGTCAAGGAACAAACCACTGTTTGGAGACGTCCAGGCTTGATCAATCGCTACCAGATCGTCCAGGGGGAAGGTGGAGTTTCTCGTCGACACAGTCATCAGGCGTATGTTAGGGTAGTTGTGAGCGTCAGCCGTCTGCGCTGCCGCATCAGACATCTGCAAACATGATTTTTTTGTTTTTTTGTTTTTAATGTTTCAATCAATAATAAATTACAGTGCAGCCTCTCTATGACGACTTTCAATATAATAACAACATCCTCTGTATAGTGACATGGTGCCTACGTCCCGATTTTTTTCCTTTTTATATATCATTAGTTATATGTGAAGTGTGCTGACAAAATGAGTTACTTCTCATGATTCGAGCCCTGAATAGATAGATTATGCTGATAGGTGAAAATTTTTACAATAATTTATATATATGGAATAATAAAAGACATGTTATACTTAGAGAATATGGCATCAATAGAAAATCTACATATTTGACCCTAGTGTCGAATTTTGGCCAATATATCCATTTGTGGATCGCGAGAAGTAACTCATTTTGTCAGCCCGCCTCACATATTTTTGGTTGGTTCTCTATAACGACAACTGTCTATAACGACAACTGTCTATAACGACAACTGTCTATAACGACAACTGTCTATAACGACAACTGTCTATAACGACAACTGTCTATAACGACATTTTTCTGGTCCCGGCGATGTCGTTATAGAGAGTCTGCACTGTAACTGTAACAATAATACATTTCACTTATGCTGCCCATCATCATATTAATGAGATGTTCAATTTGCTTTAAAATAAAATATGCAATGCACACACCTAAACAATCGAGAAGAATAACAAACATCCACTAAAAAAATATATATATATAAAAAATAGGCACATCTCCTCATGATGGTAACTTGATAAAAATCCACTTTTACGACAAACATTAGAGAGCAGTGCATTGACAATGTCATGAGAAAAAGCAAGGTGACTGCATTGATAAGAGTGGCATGTCTATTTCAGTCACTGTAAGGTTATTTCCAAAAGCAGAAACTAAATTTGATGCGTTTCTTCAATGGGAAAGAGCCAAAAAATGAGAGAAAGCCCTGAAACCTTCTTAAACAAATACCATTTAAGAATGCCCATTTGGAAATTCATAGCTCTGTCATTCACTTTATAGCCCGTCATGACATCAACTGAGCTAACAGCTTGCCGCCCAAACACAAATCGCTGCAGCAGAAGTACAAAGTTCTATTTATTGCTCAGTACCTATACTTTGAGAGATTTGGCATTAAGAATTTTGAGTTCCATAATATGGTTAAGCTTTTCTGAATGCAATCTTTAAATATCTTGATAACGACTCTGAATAATCTTTCGATTTTGACAAAGCTGATAGATTATTTGATTTCAGACCTCATGGTCTAAGTAACTCAAAACGGCCAAATATGTCAGACAGAAATTTGTAATTCTAAGGTAGCGGAATGGTAAATTAAAAAAAAGTGAAAATAAAAAAGTAGCAAGACCTCACTGCCAGACATTTCAGTCCCATGGATAAAACCAGCCACTCACAAGACTGTCAAGAGAAGGTGAACAGTTTCCGCATTTAGTTCAAAGATTCATTTGCGTAAAAACAACAACAAATTGTGAGGCTTACTGACAAAATGAGTTACTTCTCGCAATCCACAAATGGAGATATTGGCTAAAAGTCAACACTGGGGTCAAATTTGTAGGTTTCTTTATGATGGCATAATCTTTAATTAAGTACAACTTGCCTTTTATTACTCTCAAATTTTAAATATTTCACCTACAAGCGTGATGTATCTATTTCCATGGATTGAATCCGAGAAGTAACTCATTTTGCCAGCACGCTTCACAAATATAAGTTAATTAGACAACTGTTTACCATAAATACATTAAACGCCATGTTGGATTGGCCACTACAGATCCACACGTCACCAAAAATGACATTTTTCAGATTCAAGGTGCCGCGGTCAGATACAACTTTGATGGTGACAGTGACGCCGGCATTGAGAGGATCAAGAGTTATCTTCCATACACCGACGCCAGCTGTAGAGCCCGCTGTGACCACCGTCGTGTAGTCGTACTGCTTCGATGGGGTGTTCATCTGTAGGGCAGAAAACGCAGAAATTGGAACAGTTTTTTGTTTCTTTAGCAAACTCTTGTGCATGTTAGGTAAACTAATGCGCTTAAAAATGACTAAAACATGTCTTAAGTCTTCCTGGCTTTTTTTCTGATCTTTTTCTTAGCGTTAAAAAATATTAATTAAGGGAATGACAAATCTTTAACAAACTACGTCACAATCAATATAGAATTAAAAAAATAATACATGGCTCATTTCATAAAAATGACAAGCTTTTCTCTACCTGCTATAAATTTCTTTATATAAAGAATTAATAAAAAAAACTTATAACAAACAAAAAATTAGAAAAAGAAAGATTTGCTCATTACTTGTGCGATGATTTTCTTTCCGATGTCGGGAGAAAAGCCGTAGATGTTGGCCCGCTCTGGGGCTCTCTGTAACACCATGTTGTCCTGGAAGTGTTTGGCAAAGGCGAAAGTGACACCGGCGGCTCTCTGGGCGGGTTCATCTTGTGGGTCAACAGACTCTGGGTACATAGGGAATAATATTAAGTAGGGGAGCGTGGTGAAATCAGGCGTTCGTCAAAATAATGAAATAAAAGCAAATTGTTTTTTTTCCAAGTTTTTTTTTTGGCTCAACACCTTATAATATATCTATTGAAAAACACATTTCAGTGAAGATTTCAATGGAAAAAAAGTTGATAAAGGGCACTAAAATGTAAATTATTTGTTTCCAAGATCCCTCAAGCTATGTAAGACACCAAACTTTGGCGGCCATTTTCTCGCTAATTTTACCTC